TTCCTTGTAACATGAGTGATGTTTGAGAGAAACAAAGAAATAGACATCTGAATTAAGAAATAAAGACTTAACTTAAATATCTACGTAAGTACGCTTTTTGTATTAAGATTTTTACGAATTTAAATTAAACTAATAATAAAAATAGAACGAAATCGACTCCATAGGCGTCGCAAGGTCCCCTGTTCCGGTTGCAGTTTTTTATTTCTAAAACCGGGATGGATAAAATTACGAAGAGGCATTGTCAGGCGATTATTTTTAGAAAATTCGGTTCCTTTGTGTCGTTTCCAACTTCGTTTCAAATTCACGTCGCGTGTCAACTCTGGTTATTTTTTTTTATAATAACCGTTTGAAATTGCACCTTTCGAAAGATATCAAATTATTAACACTCAGTTTTTATTATTACTATTTATTTTACGTAACTTTCGTTATAAGATTGATTCAAGACATAGGCCATTTCTTTAGCGAGTTGCTCAATAGACAACAAATATTATTTATCATTGAGGTTTTATACGAAATTGTACTGACAAATGAAAATTTATAATAGCGCCATCTGTTCGAAATTGCAAGAATTATTTAGCGAAAGAGGAATACAAACGCGATGTTAATGCATGATTGATAGGATAATTAAAAGTATTATTAGTTAAATTTAAAAAAAATAGTGACAAAGTTATCTAATCATTTCTAATGATAACCTAAGTTATGAATCTAGCATAGCATTATTTTTTACTAAGCGCGTGGACACTAGAATTGCTGAGCGCTGATTGGCTGGCGGTAATGGCGGGGAGCATGCGCCTTCGTCGTTCGCTTTGGCCACAACCAAATACTGGCGCGTTTGGTACAAGATACTAGGGCCACAGCGCTCTGTAGGAGTTGCTCTACTATAGACAACTTTCAACGTAATTTGAGCTTTAACTTCAAAGAATAAGATCCAAAATTCTATGAAACAATTATGTTCAGTCGTTCAGCTGCAGATAACAAGGTGAATCGTGTTCATTCGATTGTAACCCTTATTTTTATTAATGTAAAGGTTTATTTTAGTGTTAAAGTATAATGTTATGCTATTAAGTAGTTTCCCAAATTAGACACGGGCGCTAGCAGAGCAGAGGTCTCGGAAACTTTTAGGCAGCTAGTAGTAATCTATTGGAATGGTTGTGTTAATTGAATTATATTAAAAGTTGTTCCAATTCAATAGTGCTTTATTTCTGTAAGTTTTTTTTACCTTATTAACATGAAAGAAAAACGAATGTAAGGATTGGAATTAGTGTCTATAATATATATTAGGAAATAATCCACGAGATATTTAGATGATTAGGGGTAATATACAAGTTTCTGTTTATTTATTTTCTACTACGAGTGTTGAACTAATTTAAAAGTAGATATATCTAATTAACTTCTGTCAAATCCTTAGGTCAACCTAACAAATAAGTTACGTGAAATCTTGAATGTGACTAGGACAGTAATACAAGTTATTTTACTTTAACTATAAATTGGATTAGCTACTTTATACGTTTACTATAGATAGCCAATCTAGCTATAAGCTATTCAAGTGGCACTCTTAGACTTTGTTTCAATATCTTAACTAGGTGCTAACGACTCGTAACGTTGGATATAGAAACAGGACGTTACAGGACCATGACAACCATTTAGAATGTAATTGAAGACCAAGAGATTGCGTCGATTTAGAGAAACAAGAAAGTCCAAGTTTTTAATCATGAATTCAGACAGAACTGATAGAAGCATAGATTACCCGTTAAAGAACGTTATCATATATAACCCATGGCTTAGAATCTGCTCACAATTGCCCAAAAAGAAAGATCGAAACTGGTTGCTATAAAACCCAATAGAAACCCTTTAGAAACAATCTGATACTTCATGAAATAATTGTACTCGTTCGTACTTGATATGATTGCAACGTACAACGACTTTTCTATAGTATAGTTTACACGAGCTATCCGGCTCGAAGGACCAAAATGTACGGTCCTGGGTCATCGGGGTGCTTTAAATAGAAGATTTTTTTTTCACTCTATATTAACCACTCGCGTACAACAACAGAATAAAAGCGAAAGAATGCACTGTAACTTGAAGAGAGTGCCTACTGCCTACGTCTGGCTGTACCCTCGGGGCGTAACTTCGACGATTTAGGAAATCGCCACGCTAATAAAACTAACAAAGCCTGAGTGAGCAAAATGTACAGCCTTGGCTCGTACAAATACTATAAACAACGTCATACACGATAGCTCTAATACGCCCGGAGAGCTGCGTTTTGCATATAACAATTTATAATTAGTATTTCGTAAACTATAAGATGTTACAAATGTTACATCCGGCAACGCACTTGCGAGCCCTCTGACAATATTGTGCTATGGGCGGTATCACTTAACATCAGGTGATCCTCCTGCCCGTTTGCCCCCTAATATATAAAAAAGGAATTTACAAACTTTGTAACTATTTTTTTTTAGCAAATTAAAGATAATTTAGGTCAATACTGACTTAGTAACCAATAAAATTCATCTAACCAATCTTATAAGTCTAATAAATAGATAAGGGTGTAATATTTAATTATTTGTCTTAATCAGTCACTAAATGATTTCGAAACAAAATTAATATCATTAAAGTCTGCATACTTCCCTTTGGAAGCGCCGAAGAAGGTATGTCATACATCTAAATGCTCATTTGTTTTAAATTGAGGAGCTTCATGGTATATAGATAGATGAAAAAGGAAGCCATATGGAAGGCACAGGATTTCGATTTAGGAAGATAGTGAGAGATAGAGAATATCTTGTGGCATGTAATCCACCAGCTTTGCAGGTTTATAGTATTCATTCGAAATAGAAAAGAGACTCAAGACAATTCTAGAAGGAGCACGAAATACCTATTGCACATCCAAAAAGTACTAGAGGTTAATGAGTGTAAAAGAAGTAAATAAATATTTTCAGTTAATATGGTAGGTAGACTTTCAATTATAATTATTGTCTTGTAAATAGTATTAAACCAAATAGCTAAATTAAAATGTCTCCTAGACATAGGTATGTCAAATGTTATGTTAAAATATAATTCATCTCTATAACTATATTTAATAATGTACCTAATGTAACCTAAATGCATAAAAAATTTAAACTCTTAACAAGAGATAAACCTAAAACTTTTACCTATACATTTAATTATTTTATAGTCATAAACAGGTCCAAGAAAACTGTAATTACAATCAATTAAATAACAAGAAATAATAAGCTCTTATCTACACTTACCTTTTCTGCAGCCGCCTTTATTCTACTTAATTATACCTTATCTCCATAATCCCTTAAGGCGTAAAACAACGGTCAAACAAGCCCAAATCTAAATATACAGGACTAAGATACATCAAAAAGAATTGACCGTTTTAAACTAAAAACGTCAAACTTAAATAGTTAAGAACGCGTTTTATTCTTGTAAAACTGCATATTCTTTATTTCTTAGTATAACAATAAGCAGGAATAAAGCATTCAGCATGAACTTAGTAACAAGCAAAAGAAATACACATCAAATTGATCCATATGAAATAATAAAGAAATCTTCGCAAGGTTAACTTGAATAGCCCCAAACTTGTTTACTGTCAAAGTAAATACGATCTCAAGAAGGGAACCATAGTATTCATCTTAGCCCTCAGTTACAAAGTGTAAGGGGAACACGCCTGAATACCAAAACCCTTGCGATAATTTCTCAACAGCTGCTACGGGATCACAATGCACGGATTATGCCGTATTAAAAACATGCAACTACGTTGTTCAGGCAATGCAAGACATTGCGAAACACAATACACAAAATACCGGGCGTGTGATATGTGATCTGTGTTGTAAGCGGTATATGCTGCGTTCGCTTTCGCAAAAATAAGCTCACCTTTCTAATTCTCTTCTTCATTATACGCTCAGCGGCGTACACGCTGTCGCCCAGTTCCATCTTGTGCATCCCCAGTTTGTTTGATTTATAATATCCAATAAAACACTGCAATCCAACAAGTGATCCTGTCACTGCATCCAATTAGCGTTTCACTGCAATCCCGCACACATTTGTTATCACAACGCAATGTTCCTCCACTGACACTGTTCAAAGTTGCCGCGCGAACGATCCTTCCGCGCGACAAAACTTCAAACGTCCTCTCGCCGTAAGATCCTCGGGCAAACTGAAGGGAAGGGGGAAGAAGCCGCTCTCCCCGCACGTCTCGCTTCCTCACTCCGCCGGTCCCCAACAGAGTGCGCTACGCATTCACAAACACCCGTTCGATATTATCTGTAAACAAGTTTTATTTTCAATATTAGTATAGGCTTTTGAATTTTCAGCAAAATAGCGTTATATCTTTGAACGCTGTATACGTTTTCGCTGCTTACTCTAACAACTTGTTATTAAATTGTTTAAAACATTCATACCTATAGTATATAAGTCCGGTAAATAATGAGCTTATGTAAATTTATATTAATAATTTTTTATCATGCGAGTAATCACGCGAAGTAATTAACTATAGTCAGGCCATTCCCATAAAAAATAGAGCAGTAGTTAGGTATTTCAAAGCGTTAAATGCGTCTCGGCTGAGTTGGCGGGCGATTCCCCAGTCCCCGGCCCCGGTGCGATGTCCCAGAGTGGCGGCGCGCGGTGGAGGCACGGTCGGTTGTCTGATAGCGCGACGTTGCCGTACCGCGCCAGCTGCGAGAGAAAGACGAGCGCCTACCCTATTATTTACGCGCGACGTTGCCGCACCGATCGGCCTACGTTGATTACGAGGACACCGCTTTTACGTTCGATCATCCGGCAATAAATTACACTCGCTAGTTGCGTTTGAAGTCGTTTTATCGCAGAACTAACTACGACAACATTATAATTCGATTACTGCCTATCATAATACAATAGTGTGTGCATTATAATTAAATTACCTTCGTTAATAAAGAAAATCCAGTAAATTTCAGAGTTCACCCACAAATGTCACTAGAGATAACATATTTTAGGTCCGTGGCAACGAGAAACCGGTTTTAGAACATTTGCTGAAATCGACCGAGAAAACGTCTACACCACACTGCTCGCTTGAAGTAACTAAGGCATTTTCGGTCGTATCGAATCGGAGCAGCAGTCGTGAAAGGTCGGCGTTTCGGGGTGCGGGTGGTGCGGGAGGGGTATGTGTGCAACCAATGAGGAGGCCCGTCTGACGCAGGCGGCGGACGATGATTGCCGCTGGCCAATAGGCGCCGTTGTATTCGCGCTCCGCCTGTTGCAGACCGGTTGCCGCGTTCTTCCGTCCCTTTCCAAATGAGCGGCTCGTTCGATCTCAGCGTTGTTTTTTGTATCGCGGGCTCACATAGAAAAATGAACCGACATTTTGGATTAGCCATGCGAGGGTCTTTGGATCCGGGCGCGGCAAACACGTTTATTTATTCTGTTTGTCAAATGTTGTAGGGAGATATAGCAAGATAAATATACTCAGGTCGCTAGCCGACTCGAGAGCCGATAGCGACGCGGCGTATCTTTGATACGACGCAGTTAATTTATGAATGTTGTAAGTGAAATAGAACTGCCGCTATCGTAATTAAGGTTTATCTTGTGTATTTTTAAACTGACATTTATAGATGTATAAAAATAGAGTGTTTATTAAAGGGCGTGTCATCATTACATATTTATAATTTGAGTATTTCCTTGCTAAAAATAAACGAAATAAGTCGATATTATTGTCAGATGATGACTAAATTCTCGAGCTTTATACGAATCCAACCAACCCAAGGAACTTGTCAGAGTTAGAATCTTCTTCAGTCGCACTCTTCATTTCTAAAGGTCGTGTTAGTGGCGCCGCACAACTTCCTCCACTCTTCCCTGTCTTCGACAAGCCTCTGCGTCTGGGTAATGGTAAGACTTGTAAGGGCCTTTGCTTGATCGGTCCAGAGAGTAGGGGGTTGGCTTCGAGGTCTGGCGCCCTCCACTCTCAGTCACGATGAGTTTTTCTAGCCTTTTCGATCTCTGCGTGTTACAGGTCCAAAAAACTCAGGATGCGTTGGTAACAAAGTGTCGAAAGACGATTTTTTACTTCTAACCGTCTTAGTATGGACACGTTTGTTTTTGCTCTTCAGGGCAGTAGCATCCGCCTTCAGGACCACAATTTCCGTAGCATCGATTTTTCTCCTTTCAGACGTCCGTATTGTCTAGCATTCAGCGATATAAAGGAAAAACCAGTCTCAAACAATTTCTTCGTTGTTTTTAAGAAAATGTTCCGGTCCTTCCATACACAACAGTCTCTTCAGCCCTCTGAGTTCTTCTTCGGTTATCATTTTCGCTTCCTCCTTGACTGTTTAAAGGGAGTTAGAACAGGGCATTCCAGTTATAAGTGCTGTCTCACGTCTCAAGATGATTCATACAGGATGACTGATTATTTATTGAGTAATCTGGCAAACAAAGCGTCAAGACAGGGAATAAAAATGGCGTCTTTTAGATCAAACAATAAAATGCACTAAAATGTTGAATTCTCCACTAGACATTGTTTGTTTCCAATCCGCTTTCTTCAAAGTGAGCGTTTTCTCTTTTTCTTCCCCTGAGAGTTATCTATCATCGCAAACGCGGAAAATGTCATCATTTCTACTTTAAGTAGTGGTAAAACGACGCGTAACATATTATAGAAACTATATTAGTTCGGTTAACGCGTGATCTTACCGCGCAGATAGAATGCACACACTTAACTGCTATCGTGAACTGCGCAGGAGTTTATTAGGTTTTTTCCCACTAAAAGATGCGATACACACAAAATCTAGCGAAGTTATGCTTTGCTTTGTAGTCAAAGAATTGACTTCTCTTGAGGGACGTGGAATTGGTTCTGAAATTCTTAGATGGGCAGCTGGTCCCACATAGTGGTGGTGCGCGGCAAAGGCTGAATTGTGAAACGACGAACGTCGAGGTGATGCTCCTCGGCGTCCGATCATGAAACTCCGCTGCAGGTATTAATTCGAACATCTCTTCTGAACACTGCGTAAATGCGGTAGAAGATGCAGAAACACCACACATCTCAACGAAACGCCAAGGGATCAAGCCACTCGGAAAGTGACTGCTCGTCAACGATTTGAATCGCTCATCGCAGATAACGGTCAAATGGAAAGAGCCCAGACCTTAGAACAGTACTCCATGTGAGGTTGAAGTTTCGCTTCATAAAGTAAAGTACCTTCTCGCCTTGCTGAGCACACCAAGATTTTTGGAGTCTAATTAAGTCTACAAGAAGCTTTATGGTGAAGGATAAAACCTGAAAAGCTATGTATGACTCAGGCACGGTAGCTTATCAATTTGCTTGGATAAAAATGTATAGTGAAACTTGAAAGAGATGTAACGATACAAAATAGGGTGACAAGCATCAGCTTATCAGCTTACCTAGGTACATATATCTTATATTCATCTGAAATACCAGATGACTCAATCATCGTCAATGATAAAGGGTTTCTTTATATTATATACCTACCTAGTTGTTTCTCTATATAATTAAATACAGCAGAAATAATTTAAAAAACGACGAGAAAGACGCAAAATAGATGGCAAACTATATGCGCGAACGCAGGATATCTACCTGTATTCTTTGGTGTCTTATAAATTATTCTTTATTTTAATATTTGTTTTATTATAGGGTCATAGTTAGGTCCAATTCATCCCCGCAAATGAAAATCTTAGGAAAGATTGTGACAGTCAGTTCTATATTTGAATTTGCGTGTTGTTCCCACGAGAATGTAAGTGCGTGCTCCTATTTCACCATGCCTCCTGCTAATAGAGGACAAATCTTTGTTTTTAATTTATTTTATTATTATTAATTACTTTAGATGTCATGTGGAACATGGTGTAATGGTTGCAGCTCCTTACAAACGTTGTGTAAAGCAAAAACTTGGCGATTAAACAGAGTGGCGGAGAGTTTATAGCTAGTTCTTCTCTTCCGTTCTACGCCCTTGATTTGAGATCAGGCAGTAAATGTAAAATTAGAAGCATTTTATATATATTTATTTTTTGACGTTCATACATTTGTTACCTATATGAATAAATGATTTTTGAATTCTGATCTTTATATTAAATATCTAAGCAGTCATCTTCATAGTCAGCTCATCTCTGAAGTCGTATGGACTTTCTATCTAACTGCGCATTTAACAGTACGATGAAGAGAGACATCGTGAGGGAACTGGCATGCTTCAAGTACAGACTGACCACCTTGCCTCTTAAACAAATGATCACGAAATAGATACATACGGAGACCCAGACCTAAGGTCATAATTTTTCTCGATAATACCTACTAAGTGAAATTACAATAAATCTAAGCTGAGAATTTGGTGTAAGCTCGCGGAGATAAGCAATTCATATATCTATTATTCCACTTATTTTCAGTTGGCAGGATTTGAATGCGCATAAGTCGCTTTTAGGACTGGCTATATATACAAATACCACATAACCTTGTCATATTTGCTGATATGGAAATGATTCAATAGTTGCCTTTCATTATAATAACGCATATGAAATGCTGGTAATGCGTTACGCGATACTTTGAAATTGAATCCAAAAAAACCCAACCCAAAATGAACAAAACATCATTGAGGTTATTTAAATTATATCAGACCCTTTAATTTTGAATAAAGTAGAAATTATAAATATATTTTACACAATATTACGCCTTCGGACATTCACTTTGGGGCGCGATTAAATAAATAGATACCTACCTACTAGCAAGCGAATACCACATCGGTAAGTTTTTTATCTTTAGTTTCCCAAAACACCGTACCATTTCACAGATTCTTATCTCGAGAGCGAAATTAATGGCCCAGAAAATTCTTAACAATCTGTCATGATGACAGAATTCAAAAACTGTTGGTCTAAGATCCCCTATACAACACCTCACCGAGAATAATGAAACTATTTTATATATAATTTAATATGTCAATAAATATTCCTATGGGTTGCCTAGCAAATTTCAGTCCAGATATGTTTAATTAATTTAAAAAAAATATTTTTTTAAACATTTCACCGGTATGTTATTAGATAAATTCTATCCAATCGACGTTGAAGCCCATAGAATTGCAAACGTTGGTTGTTTTTAATCAATTAATTATTTTGTGTATATTTTTTTGTGACACTAAAGTATATATACATCTTTAGTATAAAAGAAGGTTATAGTGATACATATATAATACTACCCTGATTAAAAATATTGATTGAAAAAAGTTCAAAAAATTTACTCCATGCAAATTATAAAAAAAAATTTTTTTTTTAATATTAATTAAACATCTCTGGACTGAAATTTGCTAGGCAACCCATATGGATTATATTTATTGACATATTAAATTAAATATAAAATAAGTTTCATTAAATAAGCATCTCGGTGAAGGTCGTTGTATAGCGGGATCTTATACTTGTTAAAAAATTGCCACGAAAAAATTCAATTTATGCATTTTATAGTGTTACATAAAGGAGATTAAAAAAATCGAAACTATATTTAAAGAACGAATTATATCTTATTTCGGCCGAACTATATATACATTATACATAGGTAGTATTTTCGAGATGGGTAATAAAATATGACGTCGTATCGAGCAATTTTAAACCTGTTTCAATCAAAGCTAAAAAAACTGACATATTTAGTAGGATATTTTTCTTATAAAAGTACGTCTTTCGTATAGTATAACAATTAAACTCATATAAAAGATAAGGCACATTGTTTTAGTTACGTACCTATGATTTAGCGAACAATTAACGTACGTAACGATGTACGTGTACTATGATGATTTAGACAACGTTTTTAGTATTAAAATTAAACTTGCCAATTCTGTGTCAGTTGCTCTTTAAATAATAATTTGGTCTACATTAAAAGGATAATTAATATTGTGAGGCCGCGTGCACTGTGCGGCAGTGACACAGCTGGACGAAGCGCAGCGCGCGGACTTCTCTCGTTCTGTCTTTAGATCTCAAGCTCATCACTCACGACTCACTGATCTACGGCAGGAGATACTTCAGGAGAAGAGATTTGGAAATTTGGAATTTTGAAACTGATCGTGGTTGGTACACAGAAGGCAAAAGATCAAGACCAAAAGAAAGACTCTTCGTCCTCAAAACTATACACTGTCATAAGAGAGGCGCTGGACAGAAACCGGTGGAAACAGTCCGCTCCAGATGTTTCCTTGCTGACCACGACGCTCAGATATGAGCTACTGACTGAAGAGAGAGATACCATTATAGTATACATTTAGTTATTAAACAGTATCAAACTGTTTTATAAGGTACAACAAGTGTTCTGTCACCTTTTAAACTGTAAAAGTATAAAGCAGGCGTAATGAAAGTTATGAACTCCGAGGCAGCGCGGTCCGAAGACCTACCTAATTTTCACGACGAA